GGTTAGCAATAAAAGCAAAAGTATGGTTAGCAATAAAAGCAAAGTAAAAACAATTGAAGGTTCTGGTTTGCGTAGATCCTGACAGATTGTTCTGAAGGCCAGCCTCTTAAGATCTGCCAGAAAAGGTACTGAGTGCTACAGCGATGCTTCAAGAAGACCTGGGCCGTTTTTATTTACTTTGGGCTTGGAAAGGAGTGAGAGATGGACATTGTTTCTCTAAAACAAATCTTATGGTCATCCCCCTATTGATCAGATTGGGCCATATCAGACGGAATGGAAATATTAAGGTCTAAGGCCACCTTATAAAGAAAGGAAATTCAAGACAAATGCCTCCTTTCCTGAAAATGCTCAGCACCTAGAAGTGAGATGCCCATTTATATATCTATACCTATACCTATACTTACAGCTATATCTATATCTACAGTATGTCATCCATCTCTGTACCTCTCTCTCTCTATAACCACCACTACAACAACATTCTTTTGCTCTTCTGTCACTTCAGGTCAAAGGGTAAAAAACTGTGAAACTTGATTATGTAAAGACTCCTTCAGGTTCAGCTCAACTCCTGGTGTGTTTTCTCAGCAACAACATGAAAGGGTTTGCTGCCATTGCTTTCTGGGATAAGTTTCAATTCCCTTTGGATTTTCTGGTAGTCTCTCCCATCCAAATGTTAACCAGAACTGGCCCCACTTAGCTTTTTTGAAGTCAGCCAAGGTCATCTGCTCCCTGCAGTGGCAAAACTGATAGTCAGGGGCAAAAATAAGACAAAGGCGCAGCAATTGGTCTTGCAGTTCAGTTCAAAACTCTGAAATGTTGTGTCACCAGACTAAGAATGAGATAAAGCTGGTGAATTGTCAGATTTTGCCAGTACCCTTGTGCAAGGGCATCTGGGGCAGGGGGGAGCAAATGATGAAAGCCGTATTGAATTACTGAGACACAAGCTCCGCCCCTTTTGTACATGTCATGATGTTGCATGCATGGACTAACAGTACAGCATCATAACAGTGGTTCAGTCATGTTGATGAAAGCAATGGATTGCTCAGATGCCTCTAATCCTGGAGCAAAATGCAAGCGTCCAACATCTTACCTGAACTGGGCGTGGAGATATGCCTAGTCCGATTTCGAAGATGACACCAAGAGCATAAGAAGCTCTAGAATATCCACAACAGCTGGAATCCATCAGGGCCAAGATGGAAGAATTGATATAAAGCAAACCATCCACTCTTGATAAGTTTTGAGCAGCTGCTTCAAATAACCTGCGTCCAATTTTGAATGCTATATCCTTCTTGTGTTCAGATACTAAAAAGGTAAGATAGAACATATTACTAAACCTGTGAGCTGTGAAAATAAATGATGATTGGCAAAGTCTCCTTAGAGTCACCTGCATACGGTTACAGTGTTGTTTATCCTGAGATGAACTCCTAGCTGGTGCATTGAAAGGTCATGTTTGCTTCAAATCAAGCTTGACTCCTGGTGTTTGCATGCACACATCACTGTAAGTTTTATAAGTGACAATAAGAAAGTAGTTTGCTATGCTATCCTAGGGAATATTTTTTCAACAGACCTGGCTCTTCCTGGTTGTCTACCATCTAAATACTAATGAGGTCTACCTCTGCTAAGCTCTTGGAGATCAGCCAAGATCAGTTGGTGATGCCACCTCGCTGGGTGCAAGATCTAGTTAACTTTAATTTTCTTCAGTCTTCCTCTTAAACAGCACCAGGGCCTATTCAAGAGAGAGACTGATTAAGAACTAGAGAAATTGTTCTAGACTTACGCCTAGATCTAGACCTAGACCCAGTTCTACTTAGCATTGTGAAGTGGTTGTGAGCAGATAACAAGTTCTGCCTCTGGGTATTAAAGACAGAGAAGCATTTGAGAATATTTGGCAAGGGACTCCAAGTATGCTATCAAATATTTGTTTCGGAGTCAGGTTTGGGGACAGAACTCCCCACCCCAATAAAAAGATTATAAATAACAGCTGCAGAATGCTCAAGTGATCAGGGAGGGAAGGGTCTCCTTGTCAATGAAGTGGGAATAACAGTCAATAGAACTTTATAGAAAAGGAGAAGATAAAATCCATTTGACAGAGGAAAATGGGAGAGGAAGGAACAAGAAAAGAACATTCAAAAACTGTAGTGTGTGTTATATCAATGTCCTGTTTTCTCCCCTCTTCATCAGTACAACATCCAACATTTCGGACATTGTCATTGCTGGTTCCACTCCTAATGGTAGGATTGTGGCTTCAATGTGATAGAGTCTCATGTCAAGCCAGTAAGACCACAAGGAGACCACTGGGGATCAAAGCATACAGGCTGTCCCACAGAGAGGTAAGCCCTGGCTTATATAAAATCAGCAAAGAGTCCCAAGAAAGGCAGACAACATTTTTACTCGTGTACATGATATGCCATCCAACGTGCACAAGAATGGCACCTTTGCATAATCCAAGGCTGTACCATAATTCTCTTGGAGCTGCTGGGAGACAGGCTGTATTTATGACAGTAAACATCAACATGCACCCTTGTTTCTAACCCCGGGTTTCTTAAAATATGGCCCGCTGACAATTGGAGATCCTTCGTGCATGCAAGTGGCCCTTGAGATCACATAAGAATGACAAAGCTAATACTGAGCAGACTGAGATTTGATGCAAAAGTCAAATCAGTGATGGCACTGGTAATGGAAAGGAAGGAAGCCAATAAATAGGTAAATTAAATGTCCAGTCAAGAACATAAAGACAGCATAGGTTCAGACCAAAAGATAATCTAGTTCCTCAGGGGTTATCTAGATGCCTCTGAGAAGTCAACAAGCTGGATATGGAATCTAAAGCACTCTAGTGGGGTCTACAGGGCAGGGCAAGGAGAGCAAATAATGAAACCTGCATTGCAACATCAAACATAATTCAAACCACATGCACATGTTTGGCCTTTTTTTT